TTTAAACAAACAACTGACACACATATTGTTTGTATGTATCTTCATTACATATTCACTCTGGAAAATCCAGCCCAGAGAATAACATTTCCAGGCTCTGCTTTATTTTTCCTGTTGCCCCACTGCCCTGGTCCTGTGTTTTTAAGATCACTTTGACCCGTAGGAGTTTGAATGTTTGTCATGCTTATCTCCCTGCCATCAAGAGCTTCACCTCCCAGTTTTTGATGTTCAGTCTGCAGTTAAAAACATAGGAATGTATGCTGTTTGTGCGGCTGCTCTTAAATACACAGGAGCAGGCCCAGCTAGTTCATCTTTTCTTTGTGGTCAGTTGATAACCCTCCCAGCGCTGGGCATCCTATCTTTGCCACCTCCAAACTTGTTCTCTTTAAGTTCCATGTAGATTAAAAATTTCTTTTTAAAGGAAATAGCTGGGCATATATTCAGAGCTAGGGAAAGTTCCCTTTTGTGGACTCTAACTTCTGAATTGCCCAGCTGGCAGGAGAAGATAATGCTATTTCAGTGGACTTCTATACTGTCTCTCCTCCACTGAGCAGGGATTTGAATTAGATCCCCTCTGATGTTCCCTCTCAATTCCTGCTTCAATAATGCTGTTGTGTATCTTCAAGTCATTTCTGATTTGTGCCGGTCCTGATGTGACCCTATCATGGGGTTTTCTTGTCAAGATTTGTTCAGAGGAAGTTTGTCAAAATCCATATTATTCAGCAGGAAACTTTGCCTGTCCATTTTGAGTGTGCGGATGTAGTTTGTAGTTATTTAGTAGTGAGGTTCACTCAACATACACTCAGAGGTATTGCTCCATTGCAGAAATTTCAAGGCTGGTGTATGGTACCATACATCAAGGGTAGGCAACCTTTCTCCTTTAAGGGCCGAGGGACTTCAGCTCCCAGAAGCCTCAGCCATGTTGGCCAATAGTCCCATGTTGGTCAATAGCTCCTGGGATTCTGGGAGCTGAAGTCCCTCGGCCCTTAAAGGGGAAAGGTTGCCTACCCCTGCCATACATGCTAGGCAGGTTAGCATAATGTGTGGCTTGTGGGTACATTGTATAACTCTCTGCCCCCCAACAATTAACACTGAAGTTCCACCCCCAGCCCATAATATTGGTTAATGTACCTCAGTGTTCTAGTAAGTCCTTCCCCAGAATTTGGAAAAGTTACTACTTTGGACTACAACTCAGAAACTTGATGGCACAGTGGTTAAATGCCAGTCTTGCAGACACAAGGTTGTGAGTTTGATCCCAGGCAGGGCTCCAAGGTTGACTCAGCCTTCCATACTTTCGTAGGTCAGTAAAATGAGTGCCCAGTTTGTTGGGGGCAACTGGCTTACAGATTATAAACTGTTTAGAGAGTGAGTTCACTATTAAGCAATACAGAATTATAAATGCTATTGCTATTCCCCCAGCATCCTGGCTGGGAAATTTGGGGAGATGCAGGACTTTATCACACGAGTCTAAAATGCAGAATTTTAACAGAATAGAAGTGTCTTTGGCTAGTACTTACCACACAGCATCATGTCCATCCTGCTGTTAAAAAATTAAGTTTTTAACATTTTTTTGTTCTTTTAAAATTTTCTTTGAAGACACCACACCTTACCAAATTTTCACTCTCAGCCCATGAAGCAATTTACATGTGAATGCATTTAAGCTGTGCATACAATGTTGTAATTTAAATGTATCATTTTAATTTTTGCTAGTTGTTTATGTCACAACTCTTACCATTACATTCAGTGATATATGGGAATTACGATTTATGAGTCACATTAGTATAAAAAACATTACTAAGGATTCTGTATAGTGTGAATTGGGAAGGGATGACACAATGAATTACTGCACCGGGTGACACCAACTTTAGTGACACTACTGACAAAGGGCTTATGTGGTTTTTTTTTAATGGATTTGGGCTAGATGTTGTTCTGTTTGAGCACTGGGTGGGTATGCCTAGAAACTGGACTGAAGTGAGACAAAATCGGGATATTGCAACCCTACTTTTCCTCAGCTTTTTTCCTTGAGCTTTTTGGAACTCCATCACATGTTGCATCATTACATTTTTATGTGTTTGTTTTATTGGCTTGATTGTTTCATTGTAGTGCTGTAAATCTCTTTGGCATCTGTGTAAAATGAGCATATGACTACTATTTACTAACTACCAGTACTACTGTCACCATAATACCGCTGTCAAACTATCTAAGCCTGTAGCCATTGCCACATCCCATAGCCAATAAATTAATTACATCTTATATGAAAAAGAAAATCTTGTCTTTAGCTTCTCTTGAACTTCCTAGCAAATAATTTCAGAGAGTTCATGTGTTATGAGAAGGGGGAATTGGTGTATATGGATGTGCATCACTGTGGCAATCTTCTTCTGAAACTTAAAAGCTGCAAATCCTTTGGCCTTACCTTGTGGTAAGGAAGTGGTTTAACCACATGGGTCCCCTTCACAATACCCAAGTATAGACACTTGGGATTTGTAGGGTAGTGAGGCACTAATGCTCTCTGGCTGGGAATTCTAAGTACCTTTCCCTAAAGTGCAAATCCCAGATTTGTCATGTGCCTTTAAGTCATTTCTGATTTATAGTGGCCCTAAGGCAACTCTAGCATGGGGGTTTCTTGGCAAGTTTCTTCAGAGGGGGTTTGCCATTGCCTTCTCCTGAGGCTGAGAGAGTATGACTTGCCCAAAATCACCCAGTGGGTTTACATGGTGACTCCGGCTGTCATGTTAAAGTGGAATATACAGTCACATCTCCACATTTGTGGCTTTGACCTTTGTGGATTTAATTAATATGTTCTCTCTAGGAATCTCTAGGTTCTCCTGTGCAACTCTGCTGGATGCTGACCATAGATTTGCTCTGGAGAACCTAGAGATTCCTAGAGAAAATACTTCTCTAGGGATTTATAGATCTTCCTACATGATTCTATGGTCATCTTCTGGCAGATGTTGACCATAGAGTTGCACTGGAGGACCTAGAAATTCCCTGAGAAGAAAAAATAGTGGCATTTTCCTTGCAGTTTTTCCACTTTCATGGGTGGGTCCTGCGCTCCTAACCTCAGTGAATATGGATGGCCCACTGCACTGCTATAATTATACAGTGTGAAAAAAGCCCTGGTTATTCCCTTTCTACATTTTTCCACCTCTTCTGCATCTTTGCCAGCTCCAGATGTTGCAACCACCATGGTACAGAGTGTTCCGAGCGGGGCCGTGCTAAGGATTTATGTAAAATCTTTCCATAAAGATTTGCATAGAGTGGAAGCATGATACTGGCATCCTTCATTCCCAACCTCTTGCCCAATAAAACCAGAGAGCAAACTTTGCCACAGTGGTTTCTGCTGTTCCTCCAAACGCCATCTTGCGTAACACCCCCTGGGCCTGCCAAGCAGTTCCTTTCCTCTCTCCAGAGACAGCAGCCCTGACACATGTTCAAACAGATACGGGTCAGAGGAGGGTAAGGCTGCATGGAGCTTTCCAGGGTGTTGTTTTTCTTGCCACAAGATAGAGAGAGACTGCCTTACAAACAACAGATATCGTGAAGGCAGCTCACCTTTCTCCTCCTTCCACTAATGCAGCATTCCTTTTCATGACCAGTGTCTCTCTTTGCTTAGAAACACTCTTTGTTGTTCTCTTTCTGCTGCTGCACACCCAACAGGCTCCTTCTTGTTCTCGGAGGTGAGTCCGCCACTCTTCCACCTGGGAATCTCTGTCGGGAACTGTGGGATTTCCATTCTTCTTTGGCACTGGGCAGGGCAAAAAACATGAGGTGGCATTCCAAGTTGTTTCCTTCTTGTCATTTCCTTCCCACCAGCTTTTTCTCACCAGCTGTGCTGAACGTGTGGAGTTTGCACAGTTATAGCATTTTGATCCCACTTTACCTTTGAATGGCTCCATTCTGCAGAATCTTGGGTTCTGTAATTTGGTGAAAGACGTAGAATTCTCTGCTGGAGAGCTGTAAATACTTTGCCAGAGAGATCAGGAAAGGTTACTAGACAGCTTTTTTTTTTCATTTTTTAAAATCAATGTATTAATAGTTATAACATATACAACAAAAGACATAAAAACACATAAAAAGAAAACAAAGACAAAAATCAAACACAAAACCAACTAAACATCTTACATCTTACATTCCACAAATACAAATACAAATACATAGTACTACATCTTCTCACACACATACCTCCTTCTACATATATTTCTAACCAATCACACATTTTTATCATATGTAACTCCTAGTATTACATAATATTATTGTCTTCTTCCAAATAAATGTATATGATATAAATGTTATGATATAAGGCAATTATACATTCATTTTCATTTTTTATTGAACATTTAAAATATTATCAATCACACATCACCACAAATGCAATCAAAATTTCTTTAAACATTGCATAAGGATTTGATAAACATATAATAATTTTCCCTACTACTTTAACTCTATTCTAACGAACATTGCTTACTGTTACTGTCAAGGGAGGAGGTGGTCATGTATATCCTCCCACCTCAGAAGAATGTGGGCTGTTGTCAGGCCCTTCTTGTCTGCTTCAAAACCACAAGGAATGTTGGCAATTCTCAAAAGGTTGGTACAGCAAGCTTTTGCAAAGCAAGAGGAATTAAGTGCAGAGATTAGTTTAGATAAATAGAGCTTTTGACTTTAGGACTGAGAAGGAGGCAGGAAAGAGAGAAGCCGGGCTGGAGCTATGGAGTCACAATGGGGGTGTTGCCCCCCCCCGTTAGAATTCTGCTCCCCCAAATAAAATTTCCCTTTAGTCATCAAATTTAAAAATAGAGTTTTTAAAAATAGAGTTTAGGCCTCTGAAGAAAGGCAAACTGATCAAGGAAATGCAAACACAGCAAATGTAGGAGTCTAGGTGTGAATGTTTTCCAGTGTTTTACTCTTTGCAATGGTAGAAATTTGGGAATTCATGGGAGGGGTAATGACTTCCTATTTCCCCATCCATAGCTGCACCTTTTGGGAGAAGCAAGAGGAAATGAGAGAGCTAGCATGGCCTAGTGGTTTGAATGTTGGACTAGGAATCTAGAGACCAGGGTTCAATTCCCAGTTTGGCCACGAAACCTACTGGGTGACCTTGGGCAAGTCCCACTCTCTCAGCCTCAGG